TGTCTTATTTTTTTTCAGTCCATCATAGTTCCTTTAAAGTGGTTACTGCTTGTAGATTTAAAACCTTGTTTTGCGCCCGACTCAGTTCCAGTATTCTGTGTCTCTGTCACTGAGTGGGCTTTTTGTGTGCGACCCCTCGAGCCAGTGGAAGCCTCATGGCTGGATGGAAGACAACAGAGGCCATCTGTTGTCTGTGTGGGTCTTTTGGTGCCCTGCCACAAAAAAACTGTGCTGCCAGAACTCTCCAAGTGTCCCCAAACTCCATGGTGTGCTGCCTGCACTGGGGGATAGAGGGTGGGGTGGTGGTGGTGGGGGACCGGCTCACTGAATCACCTTTATAGCCTCCTGGCTCCGCTGGGGCATGCCTTCATTCTGCCAGGGCCCAGACACAGGAGCTGCAGTGGTGTGCATGTGTGTGTGTGTGTGTGTGTATGTGTGTGTGTGTGTGTGTGTGAAACGGGGCCTTGTTGAAGCAGGATCGTTACATAACTGTGCCATTAACCTTAATTGGAGCAGCTTGGTGGAACACAGAAAAACTTTCAGTGCTCTGAGACGCTGCTGCTTTTCCCCTGAGCTACATAAAATCGAAACTGATCTCAGGCTGAGTTAATTGAATTGCAGAATACTTATCTTCCCGCTGTGGAGGAGTAACAATGGAGTGAATGCTGTACAGTTAAAAAAAAAACACCCTCACTRTGTCTCAGGATCTGTGCTCTGACAGAATACTAAATCTATAACAGACACAGACTCGTGACATGACTCCTGGTGATCAGGATCCCACTCCTCTGTTCAGTTCTTTAATGGGTTTACAGCTGAGGAAACYTGAAACTAAACAGAGGCTGCCATGCAGTTTATATCACCGGTGGTAAAAGCAAAACATCTCATGAACAACTGATTGGAGTTTAATGAATTGTTAGATGTACATCTGCTACTTCTGACCTTTTGGAGTTGACCCAATTCAAGATGGACACTGCAGCCAAGTGACCTGAGCAAACACTAAAATGTAGAAAACTTTCAGGAAGTTATCACTGAATGTAAGTCTGCGAGAAGTCCAGGGTTCAAATCCCGGACAAGCCCCCATTTGTCACAGCCCGACTCAAGACCGTGACAAAAATGGGAGACAGACYAGTGAATCTAATGGAAAAAAATGATTTATTCTAAAAAAAAAAGAAAGAAAATTATCAGCTACAGTCCATGAGCACAAGTCCGCTGCCTGCTCCCACCAGGTCCAACCGAGACAGAGGTCCAACTTGGAGTCCAAGACCCAGCAGCCATAAGGAGCAGGAAACCCACCATTTAAGCCCCAGCTTGAGCGTACATCTGCGGACTCCCTGAAAGAAAGAAAATAGACACCTAGTGGACTGGAGAGGGTKATCACAAACTGATTACATTTTGGAGTCTGCTCAATAACTAACTAATCCATATTGGCCAACACAGAAATGACTAATGTAGTCAATTAAACAGATGTGAAGCTAAAATTTGATAAGGTAGTAGACAATATTCGTACCTAACCATGAGATTTAGCCACAGCTGCATTGGTTCTCTGATTTTAGCAGTAAAAGTGATGGGCATTGGGCAGTAAGCAGTCCTTCTAGGAATGCTAGGTCTTTAACTCAAAATAGTTCTAAATGCTCATTTCACATTGTAAAATGACATTATCAGTAGGAAAGAATCACTAAATCCTCAAACACAAAGCAAAACAAGGGCGTTTTTTTTCATACAGCAGATCAGCTCTGAGACTGCTTGGCGTTTCCATCTTTCACAGGAAAGAGCAAATATTAATAATATCTCCTGTGCATCAGAGCAAACAGCCCACAGAGCCCCCGCCCTCATATCTGTTATCTCGTACTGATGGGAAGCTCCACACAGACTGGATTGTAAAAGAAGATTAGCGTGGCAGCAGGATTTTCCAGGCCAGCGGGTCACTGCGCATGTTCTGCCACCAGAAGCATTCCTAAAACCTATTAAATGTTGGACAAAAAGAAAAACGTGTTCGACAAGATTCGTTCATTTACTGATAACAAACCTCCTGCAGACTTCATGTTCTTGTCTTTGAGACAGGATATTTGATGAAAGAAATGCCAAATAAAAAGAAAAACTACGAAGCTGAATGCAATTRCTCCCTTCACCGAAGCAGCTACAGCACRGCCTTCGGTGTTGCGATAAGACAKKAAKRRCCKWWAAAWWWTT